TTCTTTTCTTAATATATGTTGTGTGGTAGGCATACTCAGAATGATAAGATAGTCTACATTAGAAGCAACCACCCTAAACTATTCAAGAAACCAGTTTAGAGAAGTACAACTGGAAGCTTTTGCTTGGATACTTTGGAAAGTATTCTTATCTGTAGACTAGCTGCAATTTCTATATGTATGCATAATTTTTATATGGATCAGCAGTTGTCCTAGCTTGCTTCTGTTTCAACATATGATCAGTATTCTAGGTTCTTCTATATATTTAGTGATGATGCTTCATGCTACAGACTCTGAAACAAGCTGATTGATTAAAATCTTTGAAATTGTTGCAAGTAGCAATGTGTTTTTTAGTTTGATGGAAGCCTAAGCGATAGAAGCCTTTTAGCTTGCTAAGCATTTTTTACTTATTTCCTTAACATACGATTTTTTTCACCTCTTTAAGTAGTTTCAATAAAAAGATAGCATATATGGTAGCCGCAATCCATATAAAGCACAACACTATAGATAATGAATACATAGTATATAATTTAAATCCACAACTTTTATTGAAAAGCCTTCAGTTTTGTCATGCAGAAGTCAGTGTCTAACTAATATTTGTCAAAGGAAACCTTAAACATGAGGTAAATAAATGAAACATATTTGTAAAACCCTGATAGGTAAGAAAAATAAATGTTTGATGTTTCGTATCATCATAAAAATCGCTTTTTCAGAGAATAAACAACCGACAACTTGTGCAGGTTTTATTCTACAAAGAAGCGATTTATATAAAGCTGCTAAACGCCAGAAATTTATTTTCCTACTACAGTGGGATCTCACAAATATACTCCAGTTATAATCCATTTATTCAATGCTCAACTAGTTTAACTCTGTCAAGTCAAATTTTGATCCTGAAGTCTGTGAAAACACCAGACAAATGTTTTGTATTTTACTTTACGTAGAAGAAATTATTATTTGTGTTGAATTCCCGTATCTCGTTAAGTTTTGTGCTTTGAATCATCACAGACTAATAATGCAACACCAGTTGACGTTTTAGATATCGTTAAGGTATCATAGAATCTAGTGAAAATAACATCCATAGAAATCTGTAGACCATGTGTTCTTCTTAGATCTCTGAGACGCAAACTCAAAGTCCACATGAGTTGGCTCTAAATAAAGTTAAAATGGATCGAAACCTGACTTGTTTTCACATATGTTTTCCTTTATTTATGAAAGTTGACTTCGTCATCATAACGCTGAGTTAGTTTCTTTTTTCACTTTGGAGTATTGTGAACATTTAACAGTAGCAGAGGGATTCATAAAGGCATTCCAATGCCTTGAAATTCTGCTAAACATTATCATGTCATTCACTTTTCAAAATGACACCTAAAATAGGTTAATCTTTTCAACAGACAACAGTTTCGCTCATACATATTCACTGAACACTGTTGATATAACGATAAATATCTTTTAGGCACATTGCATGAAATACTCACCTTGAAATTAACATGAATTTAGTTCCGATGTTCATTGGCGTTTGTTTTAAATTCGTTTTTACAATCGTTTATCATTGTAAATATAGTTCGATCTTCTTGTTGGAATCTTCTAAGAAAGCTATTTGAAATTACAAACTGTTTCATCTATCATAATACATCAAGTAATAAATGTTTATGTTTAAATCAATTTCAAGAGTTTGATTGTCTTGTTCACGTCTGAAGAAATATGCATCGGTAGTAGTTTCTGAAAGTTCATTTCATTTTTAAGCCTAACTAATCACATAGATAGAGATACTTGTAGCTCATGATTGCCAGATAGAAACACATAGTAGAGTGTATTCATGTCATGTTCAGGTGACCTTACAGACAATGCTACGGTACTCATATAGGAGATGTATATGTCAAACTAGAGTTCAACCTCAATTTGGTGTATCAAAATTCAAACAAATGGGGTTAAATAAGAAGTTACTAGAGGTAAACGGATTTCCATATGCTGTTATAGCCAGTATAATTAAACCACTGTAACTCATATATAGAAAGGGTAGATCTTCTTGTTACATCTTGATAGTTTCTTTTTTTCGTTTAATTAGGTAAGGAATACAAATCTCTATCATAGTGTTATGTCAGATATGTCTGATAATTTGCTGTCTTACAGGAAGACATTGTTCAATGTTCTTTTGAACTCACGATTTATATCGCATTTATTAAACAACCATAACCATACTAATACTAACATGAGATTGTTTATTTCAGTTACCAATATTAACCTATTAGGAGGGATGTTTTGTAATAGGAAATGAACGAAATACTCCATCTATATAAAAATGTTCGTCTGGTAAATTGCATTTTGTATCAAGGACTAATATGATCTCTAGGAAAGTGGTATTTGAGCCCTGTGGTAGAACAGAACTCAATTTTACTTCCATTATTTGGTATACTGTACTTTGATACATCATTACTTACTTAATGATGTTTCGAGTATAAATTATTACTTATAATCAGATCAATTTTTTAAAGCATATATAAGCCAGTGGAGCAATCTTATTTACTAGATTAAAAGAAACTAATTGTAGGTAATTCATTATAAATAATCACATCAAAGTAATCATGAAGTATTCTATTTACCTTTATAGTTCTTGTTTTTTCATTCTTAGATTATAAGGGGCAGTGAACTTTTCTGGAATTGACATATAAATCATTCTTATTGCATATGTTAGACATCGATTTGACAAAGGTTCACTTATCGTTTTTTTTAGATCTTTTGGTTCATTTCACATCGTTTTGTGGTGGTATTTGATAGCATGTTAACTATGGCCCAACTCGTTCCTGGTTTTATTTTTATCATCTTGCTACGTCTTATTACTACACATTCGACCAGGTTTCTATTTTCTACCTCATTTGGCTGGTGTAATTTTTCAATTAGACATCATATTTGTTGCATGGAACTTTTGGAACGAACTGTTATGTCTTTAGGGTTCTCTTAATCAACCAATCTAGACTCTAAGACAGTTTGTAGGTGTCGATTGGTTGGAGACAGTCGGCAGGAAGCGGTGGAACTAGGTTTCATGCATGTTGGTGCTTGTCATCACAGCGTATCTGCAACCTTAACGGAACTCATGTCCCTTCTGATATTCTAACCCAGCGTCGCTCATCATTTAAAGTCAGCGCCGTTATTACTTGGCTATTCGGGACGTGATCCGCTTCCTGTGAGACTGGATTGCATATAATGATTGATCACTGGAGAGTAACAAATATCATGTTATCTAGTACTGAGTTCTGATCGAATTCTATCGATCATTTTTAAGTGTGGTCAGCAAGCTGCGAGGCAGTTTCCAGGCTACAACATTACTCTCACCCGGTCTTATTAAGAACTCTACTCAGGGTCTTTGATGCTGTTTCTGCATATGATAACACTACCTCGTTATTCATAATGCTGTTTTACTACTTTTTATTTATTTCTCGATAAACGTATGGCAATAATTGTTGACCAATGATACTCCTAATTTATGTTTCCTTTCTTTTTATCAGTTTCCAGATTTACCAGTTAGTTTTAAGTACTTGTAATTAATTGAATTTAATAGGTTTGTGGGGATTTAGAGATTTTTGTTTTCAAGTTGGTATTCATCGTGGACTGAGATCACTTGGAGGAACATTAGGAACCTGGGAGCACTGGACAGCTGTTTCATCCTAGTATGGGACTCCTCAGCAGTGCACATCCACGACCTCACCAGGGATCGAACCGGCGACCTTCAGGTTCATAACCTGCATGTTAACATTGAGCCATTAGGTCAGAATCCAGTGGTTCACATATCCTACTCTTACCAGTCCATGACACAGCGCAACCGCCACCTAATGTCATCGTTGAGCATTTGTCCTCATGGTCACCAGGTTTGCTCCACTGATCACGACTTCTCAGTGAAACTTCGAGAATCACCTCTCGAAGCTAGTCACCAATGATGACTAGCTCATTTGAATTTGGGGTGTTTTGTGGGGATTCAGACATTTTCTCAAGTTGGTATTCATCATGGACTGACATCAGTTGGCGGAACATTGGAAACCGGGGAGCACTGGGTCTGTCTTGGCTAATGTCTGGTGAAATGATCTGAAGTCTAAACACCAGTCACAATGTGTAATCAGTAGTACCTCAACTGTTGCCTTACCCTATTATTCTATTCTGTAACTCGACTAGTTCTACTTAGCCATTTTCTATTTCACATATGAATTAAATTGCATCGCTTACTGAGTTGCTATTTAGGAATTTTACCGCATTTTTTGAATTCGAACAACATGAAGGTGTGTTCCGTATTTCTCCACCCTATTTTAGAGCACAGGGTAAGAAATACTGTAATGTGTTCCCAACTGTTCATAGTTACTGCTTTTGCCTTTTCTGTTATATAACTTTGAAGGTAAAGACTATAAGAGACAAGCAGGACTGTAGTCCTGGAATACTGTCGTCTACTGGTACCCAGGTTCTGAGTGTAAGCTAGTGGCCAACCTAATAATAGTTTTTAATACAATTTTACTTTTAGTTGGATTGCCTTACTTGTGGACTTTTATGGTAGCATAAACTGTACTGTGATTAATAATCTTAGCCGTTCTGTTCAGTTTTTTTCTTCAGGTGCAAAGTGACAGGATATAGCTTTCTTAGTTATTTAATACCTATGCATCCTTTCGTCACAAAAGCGTTTACTGGTAAATATACTATTGATCCGACATGACATTAGTTTATTTGCGTGCTGTTCAACTTCTCTGACTGAATATCTTATGTCTTTTTGAAAGTTCAGGAACGTTGTAAAATGTGTACCCTGATCACTTCCATTGGGAGTTATCTGATGCTCAAAAATTAGCGCTCATCGATTATTTATCGTGAAAAATTCTAGGGCAAATTGTAATTCGTCTTTCTCGTACGCTTTCTCACCACTGACATTTATCACATAAAATGATACCAATGTTTTATGGGTGTTTCTTCCGCTTTTACTATTCTCATCTGTCTACATTCAGATTGTGCTATTATGTTAAGTAAGGACATTGTGGAAAACATTGTATTCTTTTCATAAGTAAAAACAGATCATACATTAGGAATCCAGCAGTACTGCAGTTGATAACGATTTCATATGAAAACTAAAGACGTTTTTAAGACAGGTGCACTATAGACTCATCCTTCCTATTCAGATGTGTACAATGACACTTAAATTCACTTATAAATTCAACAACCCATAATCGGAAGTCTTGGTGATAAAATTTTTACATATATTTCAGAAGTGATGTAAACTTGATATGGAACATTTCAATAAATTTCATTTATGAAAGAGTTTGATTCCAATATTAAAAAATAAAGGCGCACCCATGCAACTGTATGAATGTTTTCACACTGACATGCATATGACTACATGCTGTTTTGTTTTGTGTTCAAAAAACAGCTAATCACTCTGGAAATTTGATTCTGGATACCGCTCAATTTCTAATATTTGTCTGTATAAATAATTATATCAAATAATGAAAAAATGAACAACTGAATAAAACAATAAAAAGGCAAAGAATAGTGAGTTATTGACATATTTGGCTATAGAAGAGCTTGAGAACTGACAGTCGCTAATATATGGGTCTTCGATGCATAGAAAATGCTTGAATTCCCTGTAAATACGAAAAGAAATGAGATATAAAAAAAAGAGTAAGAGACGTGTTATCGAGAATGATAACTGTCAGTGTTTGTTACAGTGTTGCATTGTTAATATAACTGAAACTTTCACTATTTTTCTACCTCAGATGCCTTCGACCCTTAGGCTGTAGCGCTGAAACCAAGCTCGTCAATGTAGTTAGTTCATAGCTTCTGCTTTAGGATATATAGTGAACCTTATAAGGTGCAGATTCTTGATGTCTTACTTCAGCATATTCCAAGATTTTCCTATCGATTAGTGAAGTTTACTCACTTTTTCTGCCTTATCATATTTACTCTGTTCCCAAAATATGTCTGTCGATAGAAATTCCACATGACAGCCGGTGATTATCAGCCACAAGTTTTTTGATTGACAAACATTATTGTCTTTCACTTTTGTTTGTGTCTTACAGTCGAACTTATTTTCTTTTTAATTTGTGTTACTAATGGTGGTACTTCAATAATTCCGCTTACTTCAAGCCTACACTAAGATATCAATGAACACAAATGGTCTAAAAAAGTTCACGTATGTATTATTTTACAGCTTGGAAATAAATTTATCTCAGGTCAGGTTTACTTGTTTTACCTCAATTTCTCATTATATTGAGAACCATTAGTTTGAGTTCGTGAGTCCATCCTTTAGGTTGTGAGCAGCCTTCAACTAGCTTGAAAGTTTTGTGCTCAGCTATATAAGTGAAACAACCGAAAACTCACCATATATCCTATGTAAAAATGAAACAAGCCTAAAACTCTTCACGTATCCTATACAAAAGTTCTTCTTACAGTTGTTAGCTGTTTACTGCTATGTAAAGGATATTACACCTAGTAAATTGACACTGTAAAGGCTTACGTAATGCGTCGCTTTCTATTTATATACTTGTCAATAACTATCACTCTTCACAAGCACATTATTGAAGAAGAATAGCGTTCAGTGGACTGACATTAATTAGGATGCCTGATTTTTAGCTCTCTCTCCTTACATATATATATATATATATATATATATATATATATATATATATATATATATATATATGGAGTCCATGTATCCCTTTTAATGATCGATTTTCCAGAAGAGTAGAAGCTTGATTATCCATGGATAAACCGTCTTGTGATGAAGCGAATAATGGTCATTCAAACTCACTATCTAAAGCTTGGTTGACTAAGCCTCTACTTAGGAAGTGGTCACAATACACTAGTAGAACATTAATAGCATATTTTGATTAACTAGTATTAAGATATCACCTAAATTTTAAGAATATTATGCGTTGACTTCTTCATAAGCCTTATTTTTGATAAACAAAGCTTTTCTAGTGAAACTGTACTAAGAACGATACCTAAACGTACTATGAAAACCCCATCAATCAAAACTCAAGCTTGAAGGACAAAAAAATGACAAAAGCATTGACACGTTAAGTTACAAACACCAACCAATACAGTTAAAAGTATGCAAGTAATGTCGAGAGGCTAATATTGATTTAAAATGAAACCTCTGAGGTCATATGATATCACAGTTTTGAAATACATAACTTTCTATTCCTCCTTAAATCCTACAGGACACAAGATGAAGTATATGTTCCAAGGCACCAACAAATGAACTACAGTTTTATTGAGAGCATATAAATATTAGAAGACAGAGTTTAAAGCCAATAAGTATTTTCGTTAAATTTTCATCAGGCTTTATAGTTACATTTACAAATTATTCAGCATAGTCATTTGGTACCAACATGGATAAATAAATTTGCGTATATGAATTAGAAGATAACAGTAAAAGTGATAATAATATTTTTTAAAATCTCAGGAAGTTTATTTATCCTCAGTAGTCAATCATTGTAGGTATGTGAGTTATGTGTGTGTGTGTATGTGTAGGGATAAGGGGAAATAAAATTATTGTCACATAGCGACTGGACAAGAAAAATGTGAAAGAATTTATTTTAGTTGTATCTGGGTTGAAGGTCAAGGCCATGGGAGGGAAACGGAACGAACAAATATCCGAATACATAAATTAGGTTTGAAAATTTTAATTACTATGGCTTTTGCCATGCTTAGCAATCGAAGGCGAACAAACTTAGAGTATTGTGATGAGACTTTGTTAATAATATTAAATGCTGAGGTTTTGTTAATCTTAAGCTCAGTATCTGCTAGATGGGAAAGTATTGAGCTTTTGATGGAACATACTGTTTCTTTGCCTAATCAATCTAGACAATGTTCAGTGAAGTGAAGATGGGCATCCCGAGTAGTTCTACCCACGTAACTATCTTCACAGTAGATGCTAAGTTTATAAATATGCATATATATGGCCAGATTCAGAAGCCTATCCTTCAACTGTATTGGGATCATTCAGCGAGTAGTAAATTTCAAAAATAGTGTGGCGACAGATAAAGTTTTTTGCAACAGATTTCTGAGTTTCAATTTCATTGTTTCTGCAGCTGCATATCATTTGAACGCTAAGGTTAGATATCATCGTTTCTTCGGCACTAATCGGAGGCGCTTTCTCCAACTGTTTTCATTATTACAGTCTTTACTGACTTTTCAGGATAGCCATGCTCATATAAGGAGTTCTCTATTATTTTTAATTCATCGTTCAAAGTATTATCTACTGGTATTAAATGATTATACTGAATAATGTAAATGTAAAGCCTTACGAGAATTCACTGAAGATACTCATTCGCTTCAAACTTTGTCTTCTAATTATCACGGTGGGCATATAAATGTACTATATAATTATTTGATAACTTCGTTACTTATGTCAGTTTAATCTCAGAGTATATGAAAAGATAGAACGCTGACTACATCAAAACATTCGTTAATAAAAGTCAGTACATAGTGTTGAAATATTTATTATTGTCTTAGTTCAACTTACGGTGGATCATTTATACACTCATAGCTGATTGATCTTGACTTTACTATGGATGCAAATTGTCGAATACTCAGTGATTCACATGTATGACTAGAAAAAAATAGATAAAGACAGAATCATCATGACAAGCAGACAAAATTAACTTTGCTTACTTTACATATCAAGTGATATTTTTTCTAAGATACTGTTCGATGTTTTCTTTTCACAAACAGTAGAAATAGTACCGCCAACTAATGAACTAGCCTCGTTTAACTTGTGTTTGTGACATATTGCCACTTTATTTTCATTTCTTAGCTCATCATTAAAATAAGCTAAATAAATATGGTCGCCTATCAGACAACCTAAATACTAATAACTGTATTCTGTCTATATAGTGAGATATAATTTTACATACATACATGTCCAGTGGAAGACTTGCAGTAAACTTCAAGCATCTATATCAAAAATCCGCATTTTGTAAGGAAACTGATGGCTTTTATTTTCAACAATAAGAATGTGCATCAGTGTCTGTAAACAGAGAAATCAGGGGAAACAATTTTGTTAAGATTTACTACAGCATGAAGGTCACAACGATGCGAAATCCAATGAAGATTAATTCTAAACTTTTATTTCAGTTTCAAAACTGGATCTATCTAAGTTATAATTTGTTTGATGATGCGTGACAATGAAGTCCATGACGCACGTCTCGTCCTCTTTGGGGGCCGTCAGCTAGATGTAGCTGAATCCGAGTGAGTGGTGTTGTTTCCACAAGTAGAAATAAATAAAAGACCTCTTCAAGTTGTAAATTGCTTCAGAAAATTTTTCGTAAGATAAATAGACTTACTGGTAATTCGTTCTTCGTGCATTATGAATCAATTTCACAGTGATCTTTCTCACTCTAGGGGGCACAAGTAGTGGAAATTCAACGCGTACGAAAGTGCTTCAAAATAATAATAATAACAGTGCTTGGGTTTAGAATATGTTTAGATATTATTTTAGTACTAAACAAGACACAAACCTCTCAGAGAGCACAAAAATCAAATTTTCAAGTCTGATGGAACTCATCTACCTTTGTATGATAACATACCTCCAACTCAATGGCAAGATATACAAACAGAGAAAAGCAACTACAATGGGGTCACCGATATCCGGACTAGTCGCAGAAGCAGTAATGCAGACACTGGAAGTCATTATTCTTCTTGTGATCAAACCAAAAATTTGGATTCCCTATGTGGACGACACTTTTGTTATCATTAAAAAGATGGTGTAGAAAACACTCACAGTTTGATCTACAACGTTTTCAGTGACATCAAGTTCAGAATGAGGGTGGAGTCAAACAACCAACCACCATTTTTGGATGTTTTAGTCAGTAGGACAAACGCCGGGAAACTGGAAACCCAAGTGTACAGGAAGCCAACACACTCTGATCAAATCCTCAAATACAGTAGCAACAACACAACATTACACAAAATCAGTTGCATGCAGACTCTATTCAAAAGAGCAAGAACACACTGCAGCACAACAACTTCTCCTAAAGAAGAACGGCTACCCACGAGACTTTATCAGAAGATACCTATCCCGTGCATCATCAACTACAAAGTCATTGACAGAAATCAATAAACGCATCATCCTATCACACATAAAAAATATATCAGAGATCACGACAAGATTACTGAAACCACTTGGGATTGGTGTGGCTCACAAACCAACAAATTCCCTCCAAACACTGTTATGTAGACCAAAGGATGCAACAACCAAAGAAGACAAACCGAATATCATTCACAAAACCAACTGCAATAACTGTAGTGAACACTACATTGGACAAAGTGGTCGCCCTCTTCGCCTCTGTCCTCGTGAACACCAAGTGGCTACTAAACGTCACGATGTTTTACTGCTCACTTCAATGCACGTGGATAACAACTATGGACAAGAATTCAATTTTGAAATGTAGAAATTTTGGAAGGAAAGAGGGAGCACAAAAAATATCAGAGAATTTCTAGACGCTTGGTATTCAGGTCAGTCAGTCAGCAATCAACAGATGCATAGACATAGACCCAATCTTTCAACCAATAAGAAGAATGATGAACGACAGAAACGCCAGGGGTCAAGCAGAGGAACAGCCAACAGGAAAATCTATACAGTCAGTGACACAACAATCGAAGGAAACAACCAATCACAGACTACTTCGTTAGGGTAAGCTACTGAATCACTCACGGAGAGATACTGACAGCTCACTTAATGCTGATGATGTCGTCGAGAAACATGATGAAAGCTTCACGACTAAACAATCCAGCTCAGTGAACACAATACAACCAAGACCGTCCACCTGAGCTATAAATATTCTTCACTATACCAAACAACATTTTTTGTGGATAAGCCCAAGATAAATGAATCATTTATTACGACCAGTGTAACAGTTTAATGAAATACATATTGATCTTGTTGACAAGACTCGTGTGTCATCTTATTTCGAACTCGTCTGCTGGATATACCTATATCTCAGTGAGTGATATTGTCTTCCTTGAGGCTCAAACCCAATATCTTTCAGGTCAAACACCAGAGCCTTATCCACTAGGCCACTGGGGAATGATAGCCATTTTTTTGCAATGGGTACCCCTTATTGTAATGATACTTGTAATTTCCTGTTGCTATACAGGGCCAAATTGCTCTCATCCTGGATTCCTCTGCTGGTCAGCGAGATCAATTTAACATCATGAATATCAGGCAGTATCAAGGCATTCGCATAGGAGCCCATCTATCAACAAAGGTAGAGCAATTTGGCCCTGTATAGCAACGGGAAATTACAAGTATCATTGCAATAAATGAAATCCAAATTATTCACAGTTCATATTATCACTCGAAATGCACCAAAATAATAACATGATATTTTTTATTGAGTTAGTATGCTAATTATCTTTCAGTATTGCTGACTACAAATTTCCATAAAATGTCTTTGCCTTAAAACTTTCAAACAGTGATAACTTAAGCATTTTATTTCTAGAAAGAATAGCAAAGGTTTACCTATAAGCGTCAAAGCTACTCTTGATAATATGAAGTTCTTATTGGGTTCATTTTATAGGATACAGTATCACTTCGTTTCTGAGCTATACTAATAGTTCAGGTTATGCTGTGGTCAGAAATTTTATCAGTGTTTTCAAGCAGTTATAACCATCTACGAAACCAGTACTGCTATATGCTTCCAAGACTGATCTTTTTTATGGACACTATTATTATTACATAATCTTTAATCGCTCTTCATATTATTTTCTTGAACTCTCTGTTGAACTGCATATATAATTGAAACTTAACATGCGTCGTTAACTTTATCTGCTCGTTCTCATTCCATCTTCGCAAACCATACTATCCTCAGTTAACTAATTTCTTTCAACTGGAGAAGATCAAGTTCAAATTCTTTTGTGTTACAATATTTAAATGTTTTAAGAAACTGACAAGAAGCAGGGGAAAATAAATGTTTCTATGTTGTTTTGCTGGAACATTTATTCCTTCTGTACTGAAGTTCATACAAGTGAATACAAGTGAAATTATTAGATAACTGAATGGTTTTTCGAAAACCTGAAGGCTATTCATTTTGGTTTCAAGAGCAATGAGACCTGATTATTAATAAACTGGTTTTAAATCTCAACTATCTGAAGGTTTATGAAGATTTACTGTTTGGTTTCAAGTTCGTATTCATGATGGGCTGACATCAGTTGGAGAAAAATTGTAAACCTGGGAGCACGGGACAACTGTTTTGTCCTACTATGGGACTCCTCAACAGTTCGCATTCATGACCATACGCCGCCAAGGACCGAGCCCAGTACTGTTGATGTAATGCTCGATAGTGTCCGAGTATAGTATACATGTATGGTTTTAATAAACCTAATCAAGTGTTCCATGGAAGCACTTTATGTCTAAGTGAGCCAAATACTAGTTTCAATCTTCATTTTGCAGTAATTACTTCGGATCGGCATGTGAATAAGCATTTCATCACTAACAGTCCAACACTTTCAGCCAACTCAACATATATTCTTGGTATGCTGTATACGGATGACGACTACTTACCTCCAAGTAAATCACAACATAAAATGGTCAAAATATTTGGTGATTTAAGTTTTATTTTTCATCAAGTACAACCGGCAAATAAATCTGTAGACGGATACTTAGATAAAGGAGGTTAAACAAATTGATGTGAACGTCTTATTTGAAAAAGGTGATCAAGTAACTTGATGAGGATAATGAAATTCATTACCTGTCCCTCGTTTTAAAAAAATAGTCTGTCATGAGTGAATTTATAATATTAATATTATATTATTTGTCCCTTGGGTCCCTAATATAAAATACGGCTTCAGTATCACGTTTCCATTCCACTATCTTCTCTAAAAACTTTCGAACCTGGTTCCACGACAGCCCACAAGCTCTCATTTCTTCCTCGTACGATCTCCTCCACGTCACCCTCACCTCGGACACCCAACTCGTCGTTTCCCATCTGCCTTCCATTCCAGATACTGGGCTGGCGCTTCATGTCCCCAGTCGGCCTCCTCACTACATGCCCAATCCATCTCAACTTCCTCATTCTGCACATTCCTTCAGTGATAGGTTCTTGCTTCGTTGATTTGTCACCAGTCAGCCAGAGTCCCTTGTTGCTTATTCTCATTATTCTGGCCATCTGATCTTCAGTAATGAGCCAGTATAAGCAGTTGTTGACAAATGTCTGTAGTTTGTTGGAAATCCCTTTCGTAACGCGCCAAGTCTCTCAGCCATATAGAAGCACTGACGTGACTGGATTGGTGTTGAAAATGCGGATCTTGTTCACGCTTTATGCTGAGTGCAGTGCAGATCTCCACACTGATTTCAGGCAAATGAACACCAGTCTCGCTTTTCCAATCCTGGATGGCTTTAACGTCTTCGTCTGTGCCGGTGCTGCTTAGGTAGGTGAAGGAGGCTACTTCCTTTCATTTTCTCCTGGTCATGGTGATAAGAGCTTTCTGTTGTTGGTGGTGGTGTTGTTGGTTCTGTATCTTCACCACCTCCGTTTTGTCTACGTCCTCTTGAAGTCCCGTCTTCGCAGTCTCACCTCTTCTGTCAACTTGTTAGTTTCCACCTGTAGATCTTCAAGTTTGTGTGACATTAGACATAAGTCATCGGCGAAATCCAAATTCTCTAGGTTATTTTCCGTGGTCGAGCGTATGCCCATCTTCTCGCTACTCACTGTTTGTTGCATGTTCCAGTCCACTACAATCAGGAGTATCATGGGAGATAGTAGACAGCTTTGTTTTACTCCTGTCCTCACCTCAAAGGCGTCATCGAGCTTCCCACTTTGAATTACTTGGCTGGCATGTGGTGTCTTCATATAGTTGTTGAATGAGATTGATAAAGGTTTGTGGTATTCTGAAGTGTTGAAGCAACTGCCTGACAAATTACTTGTCAGTCGACGCTGTCGAAGGCCTTTTCAAAATGGATGAATTGGAGGTAAGGTAGAGAGTTGACTGCCATTCTATACTTTGTTCTATGATGATGCTAAGCGTTTCAATTTGACCTGCACGTGATTTGTTTTTCTTGAACCCAGGCAGCCCGTTCGGGTCGTAGTTTTGAATCCAGCGCATCCTTTAGTCTCAACAGGACGATGCGACTCAATATTTTGCTTGGGGTGGACAGGAGAGTGATTCCACGCCAGTTCTTGCAAATACTGAGGTCTCCCCTCTTCGGGAGTTTGACAAGGTAGCCCTTCTTCCAATCGCCAGGTACCTTCCCTTCCTTCCACACCTTCTGCAATAGTGGTGTGAGCATGTCGGCTGTTGTCTCCGCATCTGTTCTCAGTGCTTCTGGTGGGATTACATCTGATCCTGCTGCTTTCCTGCATTTCAGTAGCTTTATGGCGTTCAGGACTTCCACTTTTGTTGGAGGATTTATGTTCACTTTTTGTTCTGTGGCTGCAAGTGGTATTTCTGGACGAAGTGCAGGTGGTGGTCGATTCAAGGGCTTCTTGAAGTGATCGGCCCATTTTTTCCTCTGTTTCTCTTCTTTCGTAATTCAATTTCCTTCTTCATCTTTTATTGGTTTCATCTGTGTTGATCTCTTCCTTCCCAGATGGTAACCTGGTTATTTGATACAATGTTGTCAGGTCTCTCCTACCAGCATTCTGAAGCCTGTTTTGCTTCACTTGCCAGTATGTCGTTGAAGTGTCTTTTGTCTTTGCGTGCACTCTTCTTCACTTCTTTCTCCAGTGTTTTATACATTGTACTCAGTTCCTCTTCTCGTCGTTCATCCTTGCACTAGTTTATCTTCTGCTTCACCATCACTAGCTTCCTCTCCCTCCTCTCTCAGCTTCCATGTGTCCATCGAGATCCATTCCTTATCTTCTTTCTTCTTCCTTCCTAACACGGTTATGCAGGTTTCTTTCCATACAGTTTTCAAAGACTTCCAGTGTTCTTCCACACAGGTTTCTTCAGGGATGTTGCTCGATGTCTCCCATTTTGTCTTGATGGCTGACGTGAAGATCTCCTTCGTAGTTTCGTCCTTTAGTTCAGTTTCTGTTGTGGGTAATGAACTTGAACTGTGGTCTGTCACCAATTTCCTTGAAGGCTTTTAACTTGATTTGGAAGGTTCCTCGCACTAGATAGTGGTCCGAGCCTACATCTGCTCCTCTTCTTGACCTTGTGTCAAGTAGGCTGACTGCGTCTCCACTTTCTTCACATTGAGATAAAGTCGATCTGATTTTTAGTGTGTCCATCTGGTGAAATCCATGTCGCTTTGTGGATATCCTTGTGCTTGAACACACCACCTCCAATCACCAAATCGTTGAATGCACAAAATTCTGCAAACAATTCTTCATTCTCATTCATTTCACCTAGTGCTTCACTGTGCATTGTTTGTCCTCTTCCTGTGCTATCCGCTCCCAGTTTGGCATTCATGTCGCCCATTAGAATTTTGATGTCGCCAACTGGAGTGGGGTTTTGTCCAGTGTTGATTGCAGTTGTCTGTAGAATTCCTCCTTTTTCTCTTGCTCTTTATTATTTGTAGGTGCGTAGCATTGTATGATTTTGACTTTTCTTCGTGAATTTATATATCTGACCTTTTTTAAAGCTGAACACTTGATGGTTAGTTTTTGACTAACTTATGGGATTCATTTTGTTTATTATTAGTAAGAGTGATTTCGGTAACAGTAGACAGTTATTTAGACTTATTAAGGAGACTGGGGGGAAATGGTCAACAACAGTTAGTGAGGTTATAGCGGAGAAGGACGGATCGGCGATTCACTCGCAGGGAAGGCGACTGGGACGATGGGCAGAACACTTTGAGGAACAGTTTAACTGGCCTCCAGCCACCATTGCGCTGCCCGCTATCCAGTCGGACCCTGAATGGGACATAGAGACAGGTCCCCCAACACTAGAAGAAGTCGAGAAAGCGGTAGGTAGCCTGAAACGGGGAAGGGCAGCAGGACCAGACGGACTACCTGCTGAGGTATACAAGAATGGTGGTAGAGTTCTCTTAGTCAGGCTAACGGAAGTGTTAGCCAGTATATGGGAATCAAATACGATCCCCTCCGACTGGTCTAAGTCACTGATCATCCCAGTCTTCAAGAAAGGCGAGAAGTCCTCTTGTGATAACCACAGAGGAATCAGCCTGACAAACATAGTGTCTAAGATCCTAAGTTCTATAATTCTCCGACGCCTGAGTGGAGCTCGGGAACAGCAAGCCCGAGAAAACCAGGCAGGCTTTAGACCTGGCCGTGGATGTATCGACCAAATATTCACACTGCGCCAGGTCCTGGAACATAGGCATGCTTACAGACGCCCGACAATAGCTGTATTTCTCGACCTGAAGGCGGCATTTGACTCCGTTGATCGAGAAGTCTTATGGCAGTGTCTGTCACTGAAAGGCGTGCCTAGTAAGTACATCACCTTATTGAAAGCTCTCTACTCGAACACTTGTGGGCATGTTAGAGCCTATGGTGAGTTGTCCAGGGAGCTATACTCATCAAGTGGTGTCCGTCAAGGATGCCCACTATCCCCATTCTTATTTAATTTTATCATAGATATTCTTATGGAGGTTTCCCTCTCGTCACCTAATTACAAAGACGTTGACCGGACCACAGGTGAATTTTCCTTAGATCTAGAATATGCAGATGACATAGTCCTGTTAGGTGAAGACGCTGACAAGATGCAGAGTCTTCTGAACACTTTGAGTGGGAATTTGAGAATGTTTGGGATGCGATTTTCACCACCCAAATGCAAATTTTTGCTCCAGGACTGGTCTTCAGCGGTACCGCGGTTAACAATAGAGAGTGAAGTGGTTGAGTGTGTTGACCACTTCACTTACCTGGGAAGTAGGATCAACTCCGGTGGGTTAGTTGCCGATGAGATTTCTGCACGGATACAAAAGGCTCGATTGGCTTTTGCCAATTTGCGCCACCTATGGCGCCGCCGTGATATTCGTTTGTCTATTAAGGGTCGCGTGTACTGCACAGCAGTCCGCTCTGTTCTACTGTATGGCTGTGAAACATGGCCATTGAAAGTGGAAGACATGAGAAGGTTACAGGTATTTGACCACCGTTGCCTTCGTAGTATAGGACGTATTCCGTGGTGTCACCATGTGAGTAATGCAGAAGTTAGGTGTAGAGTTTTAGGGAGAAGAGGTAAGTCAGTCGACGAGGTTGTGAACCTTCATCGACTGAGATGGTTGGGACACGTACTACGTATGCCTAGTCACCGATTGCCTCGTCACACAATGTTGGCTGAGGTGGGTTCAGGCTGGAAAAAGGCCCGAGGTGGCCAGACTAAAACATGGCACCAATGTATGAAGTCTCTGACTGTTGGTTTAAGCCATGTAGGACGATGCAGACTAGGTGGTTGGGGTCCACGGGACAAGAGGAACCAGTGGTTGGAGACCCTAGGTGATATGGCTCAGAACCGAAGTCAGTGGCGCAGATGTATACACACATTATCCTCATCTTAACAACGCTATACCGAATCTCACTATTTTGTCACTCCTCTTTCCTTTCTTCTCATACTTTATATTTCTTTTGACTGCATTCACTTATCTTCATCCTTCACCTCACTACCTTTTTACTTGATGAGCTGATGTGAGGTGTGGCAACTCGGACCGTTACGCAGTAATGCCTGGTCCTATGTTGATAATGATGATGATGATGATGAGTAAGAGTGATTACAGCAAGTTTGAATATCATAAAAATACACATAACGTTTACAACTTCAAATTACAAACGTTACCCGTTTTCTCTAAGCGGCAATGCTACCGATCCATTCAATACTACAATGACATCTCCGGATACCTTTTTTGCGTACTGTAATTAAAAGAATGTGAAAATCTGTCATAGTTGCATTGGTATATTTTAGTTTTTGTTAAAGGTCAGTGAAGACTGTACCGAACTTGAAAGGCCCCAAGAAGGGCTTAGATAAATCAATAGAAATTTCTTCTACTTCATTGTACAAAATCTATCAGAAACTGTATGTATAATGTTCGAGTGTTTAACATTGGTACTGAAACCGAAGAACGATGGGAATATTTCAAAATTACACAACAGTTTTACAAAAATATGTGTAAGGTAGCACTACTGGATGCATGAAATATTGTCCTATTATTTTCATTTTTATTGTTCTTGACCAGAAAGGAAGTTGGAAACAAGTTAGTGGTGCTCACCTAACTGGCGGCCTGATAAATTTTTGGGATACCAAATGTTTCCATCCTATATATTGCATCAAGTTTCCTCTATTTTAATTTCTCTAAATATTACTTTGAATCGTAACAAAGATTCACGCGAACTTTTAATAAGTTACCAACCTACAGCCATGAATTTAACAAATGTAACTAAGAAAAGACATCATAGTGGATGGCAGCGCGCGTTAAAGCAGACCAAATCAAACCAAATGACACTACCTGAAATGCTCAGCTCGAACTACAGATCCTTACTTAGTGAAATAGACTGCTTGCAATGCCTCCTATTTCATAATATTCATCGTAATGCTTGTGTAATAACATTGCGGGAAACTTGGTTGTGCAACCTATATGATGACAATTGACTTTCTTTAAATGGTTTCAGATTGTTTCGCCAGGATTGGAGTAGTTCAACGAAAAAATGTAGTGGAGGTGTAGCTACCTTTATCAACACTCACACTGAGTCCTGGATCACAAACTGGCTTGATTCATATTATTCCGACAGAATACATTACACTTTATACATAGGGAAGCGCTCTATTTGGCTGTCTAGTGAAGCTGGTGTACTTTAGTGCTGTTCTTTCTCCTTCCCTTTTTTCTTTCTTTTTGCGTGACTTAACCTCAACTAAGGCTAACTTTGTCAAGCATGCTGATGGCCTGATTGTATCCATACCGATCATCTCCTCTTCTGATTGTACTCAGTTTAACTTCGTAAACGGAAGTTATTACTTTTCTTCCTTAAATGGCCTCACACTCAATCCCTCCAAATGTCAGATGGTTAATTTTAGCTTCAGATGTGAAAAAGATGTTTGTACATTGCTTTAGCCCCGTGACTCTTGTCTTGTAGATGGCTGTATTGTAGAGAATGTATCAAACGTGGTGCATCTTGGCTTATGCTTTCCTTCTGATCTCTATTGATCCAGTTATATCTTACTGATTTCCAGGAAAATCCATCACCTGATCTTTTATAATAGCAAACTCAGACTTTCTGGTATAACTCGGCCTCTATTCTTACTTTCATTAATTCCTATGTTTTACCTATACTTATTTATTGTTCCCCTTTATTTTTTCCTGGACTCTAGAAAAAAGACTACTTTTTAGTGCACAGGATTTTGAAGGCTGTTAGTAAGGCAAGTAGTACACCTCTAACCGAGCTGATAAATGCATTCGTGGATAGGCATCTGAACTCTTATAGACTACTGGCTTAATATAAATTGGTTGGTTGTGACTAGCAGAAGAATCCAGGACGCGCGTTTCGTCCTATTTGGGACTCGTCAGCTGGATGTACCTGCACCCCAGTGATGTTGTTGAAACGCGCATCCTGGATTCTTCTGCTAGCCATAACCAACCAATTTATCATAATTAACATTCAGGCAATATCGAGGTATCCGCATACAAGCCCATATGCCAATAGAGGTCGAATAAAATTCTATCCAACACAACAATGGAGAATAACAAGTATGCCAATAAATAGTAATACTGGCTTAACAATTTTTATCCGATGACAGGCATCATCCGGATCCACACCTCTATCCATGTCTGTCCTCTGGGAAGACAAGAAGCAGATATATTAAAATCTATGCACTGACAACTATATACAAAATTCAACCATACTTTATTTATGTACAATGAATAAATTGATGTAATATCACATACTGTGTTATGTACTGTAAACATAATTATGGTACGGAGTAAAGTGAACATATTATTACATAGTATGTTATTGAACACGAAGATTTCCTTAATTTATGAAGTTCGTTTATAAAGTGAAGTATGACAACTAAGTGAAATGAATCACACATTGGGCTGTGACAAATAAAACGATTGTCAGTTTGGTTCTAAAACACATAGAATTACCTAAACTATCTCCAAGTAGCTAAGTTAATTAGTAATGTGTTTTCTACATCGATAAATACCCTAGGTTAATCTTCAGTTTCACTCTAAAGAATAGAGTTGAAAACTATGTAACTTTTTAAAAAGTAACCAAAGGAGAAAAGTGTTTCGTTTTTTACACATTTTCTAAATTACAAATCACCATACCACTTTGTGTATATAAAGAAAAAGTAGGTTTCGAAATAAAAACTTTAAAATGAGCCTTCTTCATATATCGAGAAGGAGTTTGAATTTCAGAATCGCAAGAGACATACCATAGCAGACGCGCTTTCCCAGAATGCCAGTACAACTTTACTGGTTTCATTGCAACCACAAGGCGTCCCATAAGATGCGTTGCCTGTGAAGTTTTTCATACACCAGTTCAGCTCATCGAACAGGTATCCTTAATGGAAAAAAGTAAAAGAATTTTAAACAAAAGGTTGCAATAAAACAGTAAAACAGTAATTCTGAGCAAAGATTGTAGCAAATGGTTGTAGGTACTTCTGTTGCTATTCTACACTGACCATCGTACGTCACTGTCGTTTAACGTAGGTTTCTAAATATTTTTCTTTGATCAAAGAATAAGTGAAAATATTTCTAAAAGGTAAGGGTTTCTGTCATCTTGAGGTATTTCTAAATTCGTGTAATACATTTTCCAGTTATCCGTTTTTTATAGGTTATTTCAGAATAATAACGTTTTCAAAATGCAATGGAAAATTTCACGTATGTTTCTTCGATTGAATAATCTTAGTAAGCAAACTTCGTAATTCATTTTGTGAAATCTGAACAATTTTGTGAAGATATATGAAAGGACCTACATCCCATTTCTTAGTAACTAGGATCAGTATGAAGCTGGAGTTATTTTAATCGGGTTGTTGAGCATTGCTGATCGGTATCAGTTGCCTGAAAATTCTTATATCCATCAGCAGAACATAACATATGGCTTAATGATTATATAAGTAAGTTTTAATATACTATCAGTGTAATTCAGATTGGTTTCAGCTAGGAGAGAAATCCAGCTTGAAGCCCATTTTGTCCTATTCGGGGCTGGTTAGTCGGATGTACCTGCACCCCAAAGAGTGATATTGTTCCCATTTGCTCGAACCTCGAACCCATCGCTTCAAACACCAAGGCGTTATCCATTATTAACATACAGGAAATATTGAGGCATCCGCTTAAGAGCCCATATACCACTGGAGATAGAATAATCCGATCCAGTAAAACAACGGAGGAAAACAAGCATGTCAACAAATAGTAATACTCTCAGCATTAAAAAAAAATCAAAAACAACATTTTTCTGAACGTATCATAGCTTCTTCAGCGGAATATTCAGATTTTATTCAACATCAAAATACATACTGTCAAATGGTAAATGTAGGAATTTCTGTTTTTATACTACTGGTTAGCTGATTTGTTGTTCAGACCGGTTGTTTCTAACTAATCATTGTAAATTCTTACCGTCTTTGTCATTTGCCATAAAAAACAATTTGTTATGGTGTGTAGAAAGATTGACAAAATCTCCTTAAGAAATCACAGATACTTGAACCTTTTTTCAACCAATCGCTTTGCTTTGAAGTTTCAGGAAAAACACTTGAATCAAAGTGTAGGTATCAGGTTGATTGAAGAGATAAAAAACAGATAGAATTTAAATTTATTAGGCCTGGAAATAGCCTAGGCCATTGTAATATGCATAAACCTTGTAATTTGTCTATATTTGTTGATGTTGCTGTCATATCACCGCCTTTTTGAGCAACTTCAAATGCCACTCCAGCAACTAATAAAGTAACCAATCACATTGCGCCATTTTCGATGAGGAAGTAGTTTTTTTATAAAATACATAAATCTAGTTGATTACCTTAACAGTTGTTGGGATGGCCTTCAGAATCACTCGCCTTTTTCGATTACGTAGGATCTGAGTGACCAGTGAGGGTGGAATTTTAAGATGATTGTACAAGCGTCTACATATACATAAGTCAGGATATATCAGATCACTCTAAAGATATACAGAAGTAGCGACTGAAGTTATAAAACAGTTCAATAATCAAAGTTTGTGTTGATGTGTCCAAATGTTATGGAAAATGCATATTTTGTCCGTTGTTTATTGTATAAAAGTATGAAAAACATGTTTATTCCTGAACTGTAATAGATCCATATTGTTTTTTTTTTGAAAGTCTAATTTGAAATGGTAACCGTCTTAGTGTTTTTGGTGAATTAAAGTTTACCAGATAGGTGACGAATCTATTCCTTTCTTTCTATTTAAAACATTTATTGACGTTAAAATATTCAGGGTATCCAAGGTCAGTCTTTCTTTATGTGAATGAAAACCCTTCTCTCATACGTCAACATTTTCAAAATCAATCTTGTTCCCACTTTCATTGGCATCCATCACTACTGCTGATCTCTTTTTCAAATGTTTCAATTCGACTTCATTCTTTAGTGAGTTTTTAATATGTAACCTATATTCATTCACTCTAATTTTCAGCTGTCTACAACTTTCGCCAATATGATTAGCCTCACAGCTCATGGATTTTATCTTATACAAGCAATTGTTTTGTCATCTTTGGAATCACATCTTTCAGTTTGACATACACAACGAAACTTCTGGAAGAATCTTGTTTTTGATTTCTTAAACACGCTGGGATTATATTAAAACTGACTTGGGGCTTAACTTTTTTCAGGAGGTTCTTACAACTATGGCCTGGATGTTGGTAATAACATATGACAGTCATGGTCACCATTTTCATTTTGCTTAGGATATTAGATAGATCACATTTTACTTTTAAATGAAACTATTATGAAGTTGTACAACACCACTTCACCAATGACACAACAAAGTTTTGCAGAAACCCAATTTATAGGTAGCATTTTATTTACATAATTGAAAATCCTTGTGTTCGCCGGATACACAGCAGAAATTGTTATTTAGCCACCGAAACTATTCTACAATTTACCCAAGATTTGTGAGGGTATCTTTCAAATGCCTATGGACTGAAAAAGTTGGAAAAGTAAAACTGTATACACCTACTAACCTGGTAAAGTGGTCTCTAGGCTTGAGCATACTCCAAGGCGTTTGCACATTGCACGAATAGTGCCAAATACTTGTGAATAGAAATGCGGCTGTAGGTTAAATAAATAGAACGAATATCCAAACATTAACACTCTACTGTAATCGTAGAAATAATCAAATATCTGCTTAGTATTTTTATATTGGCAAAAGTTTACACATGCTATTATCAACCATTATTCTTGCTTTCAATTCTTTCTATGCACCCAGGTGCAAAATTAGTGAATAGCCTGAAATCTGAATAAGTCAGATAAGTTAGGTAAGGACTTCAAGTAATTTTGTTAATGAATACCAGATTAGGCTACTGTCATTGCAGTTTAACGCGTGACTTGAAGTTCCTATCCATATTAAATGTGATACACTTTAAGGAGGCTGATTGAGAATTCAGGATTCATGTTTCTTGTAATTTAAAATCATCAGGTGCGTGTGCCTACATCCTGGTGATTTTTAAAATGAGGTCCGATCTAAACAACCATCACTTCAAAATCCACAATTTCTTTCATTAAGCACTTGAGTCATGCAAGGCATCTCTTATGAAACAGCTTTCAGTCTTTATTCATCTTTTTTTGTTAAACTGAGTACAGTGAAGAGTTGAATGAAAAGCCACAAGGTTAAATAAATAAATGCAGTTTTGTGTAGTATTTCTTTTTAAGCTTTCTTCCATGCTTTGAACTAACGAAGTGTTAGTTTTCCGGTGTTGTATCTTGGAGACTACAGTTGAAAATGGGCACTAATGGATGACAGTATAGTCTAAAGTAGTAACATTTTGCTTTGTTGGTATTCTCCACTGAATATTGAAAACATCTAAAACAGCATGTTACTTGATTATTTCACTCAGAATTTAGTGGGATAACATTTCTCACTGTCCATTGTATGCCAGTTTGAGATCAGTGGTAAACAGTAGTAATAATCAACATCAATCTCAACAAACAGTTTTGAACAAGAACTGGAATTACGGAGAAAACGTTTACTTTATCATCTAAATTTATTGTATGAATGGTTTTTAAGGCTTGGTATTCATCTATAGGAACAGACACTGACATAAACTGGAGTAGGTGTTATGCAATCGCATACTTGATTGATTTGAGACTGAAATAGAAATATATTTTGAATATAGAAAGTGAAGAAATTTATTGTAGTCCCTGTTATTAATTTGTTATTTTATTATAAGATGAACTCTAAGTCATGTTTACGACAGTTGGGAAACTTTTCATGCTTAAGTTTGTACTTTTCTAATGTTATAGTTACTGATACCTGTATCGTAATAATGATAAACTAGATTTTATGCAAAAATAATCACATGAAATATATAGTTCATAAATATATTGCACTTCATGTATTTTCGAATTCACATAATTATTCTCCATTCACTCTAACAAGCGAACAATCAGTTATACAGAAAGACTTTGACCAGTTTATAGTGCATAAACTTTGGAGTAAAACTTTTCGTTCATTAATACTTTGGTAAGATAATTAACATTAAAAACAGAGAAGTGTCAGCCGAAAACAAATTGATTCTTTTATTTATTCCACGTGCAACTATTAAATCATTAAGTTATATAAGTCATATTCTCACTATTCAAGGCGATCAACATCTAATAGTACTTTCCAAAAAATCCTGAATTTGGATTTTGAAAGGCATCAAGACATCAGAATAGTATGATTTTGCTAGTATCATCACATCGTTGACTAGAGGCAGTTGCATGCAGCTGACGAGTGAGAAACAGGACGAAAAGCACGTCTTGGATTCAACTGCTGGTCACTATCCATCATGAATATCAAAACCACAGAATCATAGTTAAATTCAGTGGAATATTTGATCTTTGACGTTGTCATAAGTTAAAATGAGACAGAAAAAATACCATAAACCCCCCTTACAATTCGGTCTACTTGAAGTGTTTGAATGATATGAGTACTAAAATATACTGGAGATTCTCATGAAAGATAGACGTAAGCAGTGTTTCCATTTTTCAGTTCTACATATCTATCACATAGAGTTTTTAGTTAACATGATTTAGGCTAGGATTCAAAACTACGACCCGAACGGGCTGCCTGGGTTCAAGAAAAACAAATCACGTGCAGGTCAAATTGAAACGCTTAGCATCATCATAGAACAAAGTATAGAATGGCAGTCAACTCTCTACCTTACCTCCAATTCATCCACTTTGAAACGGCCCTCGACTGCGTCGACTGACAAGTAATTTGTCAGGCAGTTGCTTCAACACTTCAGAATACCACAAACCTTTATCAATCTCATTCAACAACTATATGAAGACACCACATGCCAGCCAAGTAATTCAAAGTGGGAAGCTCGATGACGCCTTTGAGGTGAGGACAGGAGTAAAACAAAGCTGTCTACTATCTCCCATGATACTCCTGATTGTAGTGGACTGGAACATGCAACAAACAGTGAGTAGCGAGAAGATGGGCATACGCTCGACCACGGAAAATAACCTAGAGAATTTGGATTTCGCCGATGACTTATGTCTAATGTCACACAAACTTGTAGATCTACAGGTGGAAACTAGCAAGTTGATAGAAGAGGCGAGATGTCGAAGACGGGACTTCAAGAGGACGTAGACAAAACGGAGGTGGTGAAGATACAGAACCAACAACACCACCACCAACAACAGAAAGCTCTTATCACCATGACCAGGAGAAAATGAAAGGAAGTAGCCTCCTTCACCTACCTAAGCAGCACTGTTTCAACTAATGACGGCACCGGCACAGACGAGGATGTTAAAGCCATCCAGGATTGGAAAAGCGAGACTGGTGTTCATTTGCCTGAAATCAGTGTGGAGATCTTCTGCACTGCACTCAGCATAAAGCGTGAACAAGATCCGCATTTTCAACACCAATCCAGTCACGTCAGTGCTTCTATATGGCTGAGAGACTTGGCGCGTTACGAAAGGGATTTCCAACAAACTACAGACATTTGTCAACAACTGCTTATACTGGCTCATTACTGAAGATCAGATGGCCAGAATAATGAGAATAAGCAACAAGGGACTCTGGCTGACTGGTGACAAATCAACGAAGCAAGAACCTATCACTGAAGGAATGTGCAGAATGAGGAAGTTGAGATGGATTGGGCATGTATTGAGAAGGCCGACTGGGGACATCATGTGCCAGCCCAGTATCTGGAGTGGAAGGCAGATGGGAAACGACGAGTTGGGTGTCCGAGGTGAGGGTGACGTGGAGGAGATCGTTCGAGGAAGAAATGAGAGCTTGTGGACTGTCGTGGAACCAGGTTCGAAAGTTTGTAGAGAAGATAGTGGAATGGAAACGTGATACTGAAGCCCTATGTTCCATTAAGAACCGAAGGGATAAATAATAATAATTAGAATAATAATGATTAGGCTATGATATTTGTGATATATTTGATTAAGTCAGCAGCACAAATCTGAAGGACATTTTTACTTTGTGTCAATGGATTTATATCCACTTTACACATGATAACCGTAAATATGCTGTTTTGACTCAGCTGTTGGGAATCTCATTATATACTGCATCCATTCACATAGTATAAAATATGATTTCTGACTAACATATGAAGTGTGAATGATCATAATCAAAACTTCTTGTGACTAGAAACGTCATCTGAGAAGCGGTTTGAGCATGTGCTTGTTGCATGATTGTTTGCATAACAGTGCGGCTACCAAGTAGTGATAGACATTGCATGTTTTTGTGATAATCAATTTTTACGACAGCATAAACAGTTGAAAGTCTTTGTGAAATTTTGAAGTTAGGGAAGGTAAATCTGTTTATTGTGAGACTCAGAACTATGGGCCCTGATGACTTGTCGAGTTTCAATACTTAAGGCAAAGGATAGACTAAAAGTCTTGTAGAAGAAATTCATGTCTATTAGACAGACTTTTCAGTTTATGATATCTGTCAGTATAAGTTACAATCATAGATTATCTTGTCATATGAAAAAGTCAAGTCACTACTAGAGTTTTCTTTTGAAGAAGTGGGTTACATCAGAATATGCTGCTTAGTATTTCCAGAGGGATTTATACAAATTTTTAGTGGCTCCATGTAGCTATGAGTTCCTAAAAACATTTACCAAATTGGTTGCAAGAATATGGCTCTTCTTTAACGTTTGCAAAAGGTAAACACGATAATTCAAATCAAACGAGATAAGTTCAGTCGGTATGACGTCTTACCCACCTAAACTGAATTGTATTTTATCATGAAAAGTGTAGTTACTGAAATAACATACCACAAATAAACGGAAAGTTATTTCCCACTGAATAATATCATAATCCATCTAGAAATATATCGTAAGCATCATGGATAAATGTGATGAAATACGTGAAATATTTGAAGTCCGATTACGTGTGTAGTTAGTTAGCTATTTTCAAAAGCAGCATCCTGAAATTAGGATTGGAAAGTTTACTGTACTGACAATTAACATCAATGTTGAAACAAATCCCGGACTGAATACTTTAAAATATATCCTTAGAAGACCAAAGCAGGAACTGTTATTTTTAATTGTAAGGTGATTGTTAGGTGTATGACTATACTATTTGAAATATATAATTCAACGGAATTGAGACGAATATTTCAGTTCTTTGATCTCCATATTCTAATCCATACTGGGATGAACTTCGCCTGAATAGGCAGGTATTTTAGTTTTAGAAATAAATGGACAAACTTACTTCAATAAACATACAATATGTCTTAACTTACGTCTTTTACTGGTGGTTGTTTTTCAAATGCTTTTTGAACAAATGAGTCGTATAACTCAGGTGGCATGATGCATGATGAATTTTGATGTGCACTGAGCAACACTGATTCGAACAAATGCCACATTTCATCACAGTTCACACTTTTATGATATAAAAAGAATAAATTAAAAATTAGTTGTTTTGTGTCAAGCTTAGATCAGTGTTGATAACCTTATATTGGTACTCTTTTTTATTTTTTGTAGAATAATACTAGTTTTTTAAACAGATCACGAAAACTTAGATTAACATTTGGATAGTCAGGAAAAAACCTTTACTTACCGTTCAAGTCAAACTTTACGATCTGGTTCATCAACAGGAACAATATGTGCAAACTTTAATCGACAAGACTAATGAAACACTTCTGAGGGGATGTCTCTATCAAACCAACTCTTAGTATATCAATAACTGTGCCTATTATTACTTGTAATTGAGTAGTTTTTGTAGCTTCATGAGTATTCAGACTATGCCTGTTTGCTTCCACTGTAAAGGTGTAAGGAGTGTAAGCAACGAACTATATCCTAATGTTGATTCTCACTATAGCGACAATAACCAGTTGGTGAGCTATTTTCTGCAGGTAAATCAAAAATATTCAGTCAAAACAGGAAGCATGTCCTTCATTGTAGGCAATTTTCCAATGAATGATAATGACCATTTCCTTTTTTTATTGAACATAAAATTTGATTTGCAGTAAGTCAGTCCCCTACCATTTTGAAACAACAGTGTTATTCAGTTTACTTCACATGGAAGTACTGTTTGCGATTATTTAAATTCATTTTCTTCAAGGACATCGCCTAATAGTTAAATCTCTTGCAGAAGGTTTGGATAACAGAATTCTTTGACCTTATAATACTGTTCAAAATTCTACTACTACTAATAATAAAGTTCACGCTGCGTGATGACTGAAGGTGAAATGAAAGTGCGGGCCACGTAACGACTAGCACCAGCGACCACCAGGTTCACAGTCAGTTGTTTTACAAACCCACTAGTTGCCAGTTCGAATCTCGCCACAGCCTAAATCTTCATTTCACCTACAATCATCATCCAGTATAAAAACAAGTTTGCGAAACCACACCTGTCTGAGATAGTCAAGATGAAAATAATAAGATTGTTTGAGTAGGAATGAGGGAATAAAACGTTTCATGACCTAGACTCAACCAACAGCCACATACTCACATAACCAACATACATCAGAGAGAAACTATCAACACACGTCTGCATACAAATCTCAATCTGTAAATCATCTGTAAATCTTCATCCACAATACACTATATATGCATATCCTCTTTCTTCAACCATTTGAAAAACCAGAATCATTCTTGCAGAACAACACTCATCAAGTTATCAAGTTTAACCCCGGATTTTGTAAATTCAGGTCTACTATAACAGTGATAAATCTATCAGCATTAAATAGTGAAACGTCAGTTCAAACAAATTTCTTTTAATTGACATTCATTATAAAATAAAAATATCAAAGTAACAAAGATCTTATGATCAATGTCCCTATTTATTCAAACCATCAAATCCAAACGTGGTTGACGTCTCACTTTATGTTGACAGGATGGTTGAATTTCAAAACCTGAATTTTCATGCCACTTGACATTTGTGTTTTTACAGTTTAGCAGTTCACAAGACAAGATAAAGTAGAGTTGAGCTCTTACCCTACTCGTTTCACATAACACCTTGTCTTAGTAAACATGTTTGTGAATGTCAGTTCCACTTCTAACCAAGTCCCGGAATAAGAGAAACACATGAAAAAGCTTAGCTGCAAGAGTCAAATATGAGAGCTATTCAACCTCTGTTCAGAAGACATTTTGATTTCCAATGGAGAATACCAATCATTTACTGCAGGTGTAGATGAAATCACTGTTACTCTACACAATAATCTCAAGCCATTGCTTCAGTCAAATCACTTAACAAAATTTCGTGTACTGTATAAGGAGATGAACCGACTTCAAATAGGGAAGAATGACATCTACTGGTTCAAATTATTCAGCAAGATGTTATTATTGCCTTTAAATTTTTCACACTTTTCTAATTATTAGTTAGCCTCATTCACAGCTGCATTTGAAATTATTCTACATGTAGTATTTCTGTGTCCTTTCACTCAAATATCCAACAGGCCCCACTACCCTACATAATTGTGTAGTCTATTTCTAGACAACAGGCGCGAAGCAGAAAGTCTACAAGCAACTATCAGAATGAAACCAAACATTTCCCATTATTTATTACTCAGGTTAAAATTAGCTCTCCTCATTCCATATTCTACTGACTATATCTGAATTATTTTAACCACCACTTTACGTTTCTAATCTGACAGTCCGCGTCGTTTCCTGATACCATCATTATTCGTTACAGCATGAAATATTATTTTATTCAACACTCCTACCAAACACTAACTTACACATATCTTTGTTTCTTATTTACTGAGAAGAAGCAAGTTTTATGGTCATTTCGATAGTTGACTTTGAGAATGTGCTTGAGTTGAGTATAATGTGGTTTGAACGGTTCCAAGTATCACAGTGTATGCATGAATACACTTGTATATCGAATTCATCTATACTAACAAATTCAACTTATCAAACAAGAAGGTGAAGGCAGAACAAGAATGAATAAGATATGTGGTGAGTTAGATAAAAGTAGTGACTTTTCGTCGAGTGTATAAGTTGTTTGGAAATTGTTGAGATAACATGCCTCCTCAGGTTACTTTACAAATTGTAAGGCTGATGAGACATTGTTGGCATATGAAGTGTTTCAAAAACAGATATGGTTAATTAGATGTTCAGTTTTGTCCTGATTTAGGTTGCAGGAGATTATTCAAGCAGTGTGATATTGTGAAATTCTGAGAAGACATATTGCTAAAAGTAGTTATGGTAAACCGCCAGTACTTGTTTTCAGTATGAATAAGCGTAAGTTTATAAATCGCATCTATTGTCGTTGGGGAGCTATTTATTGCCAAAATGACACTCACTTATTGATAAACATTCCTACTACATCTGTTGACTTCAACTGAAGTATAGATTTTTGCGTCTAATTGTGTTATTCTTTCTTGCTTCTAAAGAAAGCTATCATAGTTTAAGGAGTGCTTCGTTGGTTCGATAATCATACATATGAAGTAAGCTTTTAAGCAGTGGATGACACGAGTTTATTCAATACTTTTGGTAGGATAAGTGCAATTTGGCACAGTTTCTTCTTTTTTTGTCCTCAGATAATGACATAACCACAACAACTGTTTTGCCAAAACCCATACACATAGTTCTGGTTACCAGCTAGCCAAGAAAGTAGAATAATTGACATAAAACCCATTTTAATAAGGTTTTTGTAGAATCATCTATTAGCTTCAAACTGACAGCTAGTAGGTTGACCGAAATTTCTTAAAATAAATTTATTTCAACATTTTCAGACCTCGAAAGTGATATGATAGTCTTTATAATATTTGTATTCCAGTTGCTTTTCAACAGTCTAAGCATCAACGATAAGACACAATATATTACTGAATGGGTCTGAGGTAACAGACTATTTACTTTCACTGACAGCTTTTTATGACAGATGGAAACAATGAGAAGTCATGACCAGTGGGGCTAGTCTGATGGTCGTGAGGACAGTTACTCAACGATGATATTGGGTGACTGTTGCGCTATGTTATGAACTGACAGAAGTTGAAACATGGACCACTGGATTCCGACCAGTGGCTCAATGTTAACATGCTGACTAGAGGACCTGAAGATCTCGGATTCGATCTCTGGTGGCGCGGGGTCGTGAATGTGCACTAGTGAGGAGTCCCATACTAGGGTGAAACAGCTGTCCAGTGCTCCCAGGTCTCCACTGTTCCTCCAAGGGATGTGAGTCTACGATGAATACCAACTCGAAATCTAGTATTAATGCTTGCATTAGTAGTAGTAGTAGTAGTAGTAGTAGTAGTAGTAGTAGTAGTAGTAGTAGTAGTAGTAGTAGTGATAGTTACATTTCGACTGAACCGTACATATAGAAAATTGCCGTAAGTAATCTGACATAAGTGGGAAAGATCCTTATTCCAACTGATTTGTGAAATGTTTGGGTCGCGATTGGTTGCGCTCACAACGACAGGTCATACATGTAACCCAGTCCTACAGGAGGTCAATCACGGCTCGAATTGTCCAGTAGTAAATTCGCTGACTACAATACTGGGTGATGCGGGTTCGAATTCCAGGCGGGACATCAGTTCTGTCTAGGTCGCAGATTAGCCAACAAGCACACAACAGATATGCTAACAGACACGAAACCGATGTCCAGGGTTTCCTGCCAACTGCATCCAACCAACTAACAAGAATTACAGCCAATTTTCTATCAAACTGAAGATATATATTCACTTCGTTTACTTGTTATCAAGCTCCTTGGTGTGGCACTTGGACACCATACCCTATATATATTCTTCGTGCACTCCTGTATGAATGGATTTGTTTCTGTGGAATATATGAACATAGTAGTACCGGAAGCTAGCAGCCACAAATTAAGCAAACTTTGATGCTTGACAGTTGTCTTATACATATCGCTTTTGTTGAGTTATTATAAGATTTATGTGTAACACTGTCTCTCTACTGAACAAGTTCGAGTTACTGAAACTGAACATTAGCTTTTCGCTAACAAAATATGTCCTCCCTTTCAAAAACCATCATGTAACTTCGATTTGAAAAGTAGTCGAAATGATTCTTACTTTGAACAGAACTTAGAAGAAAAATTCTACACTATCTGAACTCTGTGTGGTGATATATTTTAGGTTCATTTAAGGACTGTTTTCCTATCTCCTGAACACTGTTAATTTTGTCATAGTAGTAACCCTAAAAATGTATGTTTACTTAATTTAATTGGGATAATTGGGATTTATTTTTGATTTGAAATGCATCAATTTTCCACTTTATTAAATGGTTAGTGAAATGGAAATCAGTAAACAACTTTTTATTTTTCAGATGAATGGGGAATTTTTTAATTTCGAAGTAGTATTCATCATGGACTGACATCAGTTGGGGAACCATTGAAAATCTGCAAGCACTGGATAGCTGCTTCGTCTAACTAGTATTGGACTCCTCAGCAGTACGCACGCATAATCCAACTAGAGATCGAACTGAAAACCTTCAGGTTTCATGGCGAATGCGTCAACCATTCAGTCACTGGGTTGGTTTCTAGTGGTTCACAATTTCCAGCTTCTGTCAATTCACTTCCTATGTTTAATTTTTTGATTATGTTTTGTAAACGAGTAATACTGATGTCGCATTAAGTAAGTTCATTCACTTTTCAAAATATAGTTCAGGTAGATTTTATATGGAGAAATAGTATAACAAAGTTACTTCACTTAATATTCAAATACTGATAAGTCTAACCACTAAAACTTTTCTGAAAATTTTTTTCAATAAATTAGTAAAGCACTTAAGTGAAACCTACACAGTGAATGATTCAAATAACTGGTGCCTCATTTTTATTTTTGAGGATAAATGTTATTGAACAAGACGTAGGTAATATATCATCTTATTTAAACTTTTCAGATGGATAAAAAAAATATTATGCAGAAAGTGGAGTTTAACTTAACCAATTATGAAGTTCTTACCTTCATTAAATATCGCAAAAAAATTCCTCCTTTTCTCTTCTAATTTACCTTACTGTATTGATCTTATGTTGAAAGTTTATCATATATTAATTTCAACTGTCTTTACAGATATTTTTGGAACGTTTCAGGTATAAATAACAAATTTATTCAATACGACAAGTAATATGAAAGTTCTGTAAGTATTTAAGGTTTCAAGACTATGGTAAGGTATAGCTGGTAAAGTATAGCTGGTTAGTAGGTGCATTACACAGACTGGCACATTATTTATAACCAGCATATATTCAAATTTATCATTGATAACAAAATGTTGTATATTTTTTTCACATACGGAAAGCCTACACAATTTCTCACACGATTACAATTCAGATTTCATCACATTTAAATGGTCTGAAAACTGGATTAAAATTAACTGAAAAATTATGCATTAATTTCATCTAGTTTTCAAATGGAATAACAGAAAATCGGTTTTTTTCATTGTTTTCAAGTTTCATATTTTCGAAAAGTCATAGAATAAGGAAGTGAGATACTCAGAAAAGTGACATCTATGACCTTGAAACAGCTGCTATATATATATATATATATATATATATATATATATATATATATATACACTGATCGTATACTAGTTCATGTTTCAGGGGTCAAATATAGCGCTTAAAATATCCATGATTTGTGTTAACAATAAAGTTTTCCAGTCGAAGATTACCCATACCAACAACCTCTTAAAAATTATGTCCAATAACACTGTTTACTTCCTCAAAAGCTATGTGAACCTCAAACTTTATTGCCCAGACCTACAAACAACAACTTTAGATCAAGTGGAGCATGAGTACTAAAACAACTCTCACTATTATTGATCACACTGAATACCTGCACGATCATAACCTATTTCAATAATTCTATAGACCAAGACTTCAACTTTCGTCTGCCCACATAAGTATTACATACATTCAATTCTCATTGATTCCAACGTGTTATTTTTGCTACTACAACAGAAAACAATCCTTCAGAATGTTATTCACTAGAAAATAATTCATGCAATAAGTTGAACACGTACTATATTTTAAACACGTTTACTGAAAATGTTTTCAATATTGAGGTTTCAATTCATAAAATAGCATCATCTGCTTCATTTAGGCATATCACTTTCCTGCTGAACACACCATCATTTCAGTATAGGATAAATCAAATGACTACGAAAGCTGACAGTTAACATGTTTCAACAGAGTTACGAGGTAACAACTTAGTGGCTAGTGTATTTCAGTAGGAAACTATTCATGAAAATCATAGGTGAATGTTTGTGATTCCGCCTTACGTGTATGACTGAAAGTTGTGATGCTTGAAGGTGATGAGCTTCAAAGTTTTACAAAGAAGAACTGAGGAATGAGCTTTTCACTGTTTTCATCCCACAAATAGACATACTGAATCATACTTGTTTCTAGTTTACCTAAAACAAAATTAAATACAAAGCTGACTGACTGATTTCACATTAGAATATTTCTGATACACTTTGTGTGTGTATTCTTGCATCAGAATAACAATCAATCTATAATTCATATGATGGGTGAATTGTAACATTAATGATTTTATAGGAGTAACATGTAGGCTACAAGTGATTTCATGACAATGAATTTTAGAAAGGCTCATTCAACCTTCACGTAGATCTATCAATTGATACATTTTAACGGAATGGATATTGGAAGCGAGGAACTCGATGTCGTTCATGTCCAACCAAAGAAACTTGTTAATGTTTGCGATGTTGATGATGAATGTAGTTGATTTGGAAAATGAAAAATTCTTATCAAAGCAAAACATGGGCACCGTGGTAGAATGTCATTCCATATAAGATAATTTTATCTGATGTGTAACATAGAGTGGTGATACAGTATTATTTATTTGGTAACGATTCCAGTGTAAATTATTGCTCACTATCATCTCAATGTAATCACACTACATTCGATGTCCGAGTTTCATAGTCCTATCACCTGATATTCCTCGGTTCCATTGATGGTGAAATGTCTCATATCTGTGTTATAGGTGTCGCATCATTCCTATCACATGTGTCGGTGGTAGATTCAATGAACAACGAGTCAGTAGTCTCTCCACCTTATCATATTAGACTTAATTACAGTGGTTTTACCCTCAGCTTATTGTGTAAGTGTGCGTTGAAGCATGTATTGCAACAGGCAAGCCCTCTCCAGATCATTCATCCCATTCGTGCTTGTCATTCTATATTTGGCTAAATTTCTGTGAAACATTGTGATTATACTATAACCTGGAATGCAGATTTTAAATAACCAAGCAGTTTTAAATATTTCCTTTCAGTTTGCACAGGGAGTATCGTATAAAAACTGGACAAACTTTACCAGTATTGAAACATGATCCGCTTCATTTTTATTAAAATTAGTTCAGAAGAACACTAGAAATGTTCATTGAAAATTCAACCGCAAAATGTGATCTTCTGTGGAACTATCATTAGGTATTTTCTAACGATCTACTAGTATGGTAGTGCATACATAGAAGGTTTTCACACAAAAATGTATACCAGATGAAAACTTTAATAGAAATGGAAATGTTATTTTATTCGTTAAATGAAGAGTTTTACTAGGTGCTAAACAATTAACTAAGAAGAATATCCGTCACTGTGTAAAGGAGTTTTACTGTAAACATTATGTTTTGTATATTGAATTCCTTCTGCAGGCTATTTAGGAGCTACCTTCCTGTAAAAGAGCCTCGAATGAGTAATAAATTCAGACGTTTTTTTTCAATGGCTTGCAAACAGTATACCGAAGGTATCTTGGTAGGACAGTAAAATTATATCTTACGAATGAGCTCGGACCTACATTTGATCTCATTATTTTACATCCGTTACCGCTAAATACTAACTCTAATACTCTTCGTGACCAAATATACCTTATTCTTAAGTTATTTCAATGAACTTTTGCCTATGAAGATGAAAGATTAACCTACCTTTTGTTGTAAAGTTCAGATGGAATTTTTAAGAAATTCTGAAATTTAACTTATCAACTTAGGTACAACAAAATTCACTTTTTTGAATATGAAAAACAGAAAAGTGTTAGCGTCTATGGAAAAAAAATGGTAATAGGATCCACTTTATTTTCAAAAGTTGCATAATAAAGCCCTAACCTGAATAGAAATTTTTGATCAATGACATGTTGAGAAACTTATTCATAGATTTGACAGTCTCACTAAAATTGGACAAAAGAGACAAAGTGAAAATTTATGATGAACGTTTTTGATAAAACAACATTCGCTTTGTTCATCATATACATTCCTGGAAGTGAGGTGAATGATTATGAACTAAGTTTATTGGTTCATAGTTTGACAAACTACAACTGGTTGCCCAGATTCGTGCCACTGAGATAGATACAAAATATCTTTAATGAACTAAATAAGTACACAAAATAAGGAATATCATGCAGGAGGATCAAGTATTACAAATAAACATATAAAAGCAAATCAAAACTGATATTCAAGATAGATGGTACTTAGGACTTTGCATCATTCCAAAACATTTTCATGATATGAACTTGTGAATTCAGATTACGCTTGGCATGGTAATTAGATATTTATCTTATAATACTAAGCCAGAAAACCTATAAGTAAGCACACACACGTACTTATATAAAAGAAACATTCTCTAAGTGGAATTGAACCATAGACTGGTAAAGGTTATGCCAGTCATCAATACAATTCTCGTAACTGTTTACAGTAAAAAGGAATTTTAGGATTACCGGCATCAGTGTAAACTTACTCAAGAATTTTATGCTCAATAGTCCATTGAATGCATCTTGATTTTACAATTTCAGAAAATAAATTTCTTTGTTGTTGTGCGTTACATACGTAAAATAAATTTATCAATACAAAGCATAAACTTTTTATCATAATATGTTTATATTCTTAGAGAGTAAATTGAACGAAGTCGACATTGCATATTTATATACTATGTAGATTTTTCTGAATTTATGCATAACGCATACAATCTAATAAATAGTTTGTAGGCATGTTAAAGATGTACACATGATATAACGGCTCCACTGCAGTGTAAGATAAAAAGTACTAACACTTATGTAAAGTGTAAAGCAACCAAATCTTGATTCTACATATCTGCTCCCTTATTGGTTATATTTTGTAGTTGAAACAGAATCAAGTTCATTTGTGTATAAATTTGAATTTGTCCATTGGCTGAGAAATGCACAGAATTGTACTTACAATCAATCAAGACAATCATTAGGTACTACTATCCGTCAGATCATATTTTCATGTTGAATCACTTTTAAAAACTTAATATCTGTAAGTTATTTTTGAGCAAATCTCAGGGTGATTGAAATTCCAAAGTCTTGCACGGAAGTTTGGTTTGGGCGTCTTCAAGTACTTCCATGCAAAACGTTGGATTTTCTTATTTCAAACATACCGACATTTGTCCAAATATAACTTATATCTATTGTCAACTTTTTACTGCGGCTCAATATTTATCAAACTATTCAACCTAGTGGTTAACGCTTTTTCGAATTTGAAGCGATGGATTTAAGTCTAAGTGGTACCAGCATCACTCAATGGGGTGCAGGTATGTTCAGCTGAAGAGTCCCAGATAGGATGAAATGCTCGACCTGAATTGTACTGCTAGTCACTAAGATGAATATAATATCTGGTTCAGTCTTGACTAACATATACTCCTAAAAAAAGAAGAATATGACTTTTATCAGAGACAAAGTATTTCTTTTCAGCGACCTTATTATCAAGTAGTACAGTCGTATTTCTAAAATGTCAGATAAATGCACGAAGAAGTTGTTCAGTCAATATACACATTATAAAAGTGGTGATGGGGTACTTTCAAGTGGAAGAAATAGAAAATGTTCAGCTGAATAAAAAATGATTTGATTGAAAGTAGTGAAAGAAGGTTTGAGTGCTGTCAAAGAAGTGTAAAATGACCATAATTGAACTGTAGTTTGCAAAAGGGAGTCAAATGAAGTTGACAAGCTAACTAAGATGAATTGTTAAAACCATGGTAGAGCAAGAGATTTTACAAAACGCTTTGAATGTATAATTTTGGCTTTTGTTCATGCATAAGTGTTGGGGAAGTCGATATCTGGAGTGGTTCAATTTAACTTTGTGATTTGAATCTGGAGAAGCTGAACGATCTGCCCACATTAAGTGGTCACATATGGATGAAGTTGTTTTCCTCTCTTGCTTTTTGTAAATCGAATCGGTTTCTGAAGAATCCGTTTACGATGTTCGATACAATCAACTCCACAAATTTTGTTCTAGAAATTCGTATGTTTCATCTAATTCGTATGTCTTCAGTTTCTACCAAAAGGGCGAGATATCTTGGTAGCAGAATAAGGAGTTAAGTTGGCTATGGCTTTATCATTTAAGTCACTCAAACAGTCTAGTGGAAATAACATAAAACATTGAAAGTAAGGCAGTATTTAAGGCTTCATTATAATCATTTGATACTATATTTTAAGTTACTTATATCTTCAACAGATCAAGAGGTAATACTTGTGAATGGAAGACATTCCAGAACTTGTATCAGAATCAGTGTTCAGTCAGAGAAACTACCTACTTGAGGATGATGAGGATGTGGATGATAATTGACCACATTTTCTGAATTTTAATGATGGTTTTGTCTCTTCACTGTATTACTGCAGGTTCAAACAGGAATATGCTGAAGATACATAGGAGACAACTTTTAATCTTACTTGTGAAACCATAAGAGTTGCAGTTTAATGACAAGGTGACTAGTAAACAGGTAATGGCAAAAATGCCTGTTCAGCTATCTGGTTTACATTAGTCGTCTTTGTATTGGTTTTAACTAGACTGGTTTCTAATAATACTGGTCAGTGTTACAAAGTCACAATAAGGAACCAATTCAATATATCAGTGGCCTTCAGTTAAAATATTACTCCCGTTAAATTTAATAAAATTTGCTTATTTTTCTGATGAATACATATCGATTCACAAATGATGGATTGCTTAAAAGTTCCAATTAAAAACTGATTACTCCTTTTTATTCAATAAAGTTTTCACATTCAATTTTGAAGATGTATCACAATTTGTAATATGATGCTCATTTTTATCTGGTCTATGTAAATAAGGTAAACGAACTAATAAACAATCAGAACCAGTTTATACAGTCTAGAGCTACACTGTTTATTCAACTGGTTTCATCTCTCTTTTTTCATCTGATTGTAAGTTCAAATGAATATACATATTACTATCTTGTTATATTTAATGGTGTTTTTCCCAACACTGTGGTAATGAAGTAGCTCTTAGGGAGTGAAAGTATGGAGAAGGAACTCTATACTATGAATAAGGAATAAAATCAGCTTCTAAAGTCATAGTCTCTTCCAATTGCCTAGTCACAGTTGTGTCAAGAGAAACTTGGTTTAAATATATTGATAATTCTGTACATTTTTTTTTAACAGTATGGAATATTTTGGTAACTAATTAATAGCTTGATCACTCATTTCTTGATTCTTCATAGTTGTACTCTCTATATACCTTTTCAGATTCGAAAAATTAAATCCATAGTTATAAGTATCTTCACTTTGTTTTTCCTTTTAGGACAGAAACTTCATCATGAACCCCTAATTTGTCGGAGTAAATTTGAGCATGAATTCTAGATGAAGATACGGTGGAATAAAACTTTCTAATCATATATAGCGCAAATTTTTTGTAACTATTATTATTATTAGTCCCTTGGGTTCCTAGTGGAACATAGGGCATCAGCAGCACGTCTCCAGTGACCTCTGTTCTCTGAGATCTTTTCAACCTAATTCCACGACAGCCCAGAAGCTCGCATTTCCTCCTCGCACGACCTCCTCCAAGTCAACCTCACCTCGGACACCCAACTCGTCGCTTCCCATGGGGATTCCACTCAAGTGACTGGCCTGACGCGTGATGTCCTCAGTCGGCCTTCTCAGTGCATGGCCAATCCATCTCCACTTCCTCCTGCATATTTGTTGCGTGATAGCTTCTTGGTTGGTTCGTTCCCAGAGTTCCTTGTTGCTTATTCTTTCTGGCCATCTGATCTTCAGTAATGAGCCAGTGTAGGCAGTTGTTGACAAATGTCTGTAAATTGTTGGAAATCCCTTTCGTGACGCGCCAAGTCTCTGAGCCATACAGAAGCACTGACTTGACGTTGGTGTTGAAAATCCGTATCTTGTTCCGCATGCTGAGTGTAGAAGATCTCCACACTGGTTTCAGGCTAATGAACACCTGTCTTTCTTTTCCGATTCTGATCTTAACATCCTCGCCTGTGCGATGCCGCCAGCATTTGAGACAGTGCTGCCTAGACAGGTGGAGGAGGCTAATTCCTTTAAGTTTCTCCTGTTGATGGTGATTGGAGTTTGTTAACGTTAGTGGGGTACCTTCATCACCTCTGTCTTCTCTATAAGTTGCGTATTGATAAGAAAGGAATTAAAAAAATATTTAATTCCATACCTACTATGAACTCAGTATGTACCGCATATTCACTTTAGAGAAAACTAGAAAGTGCAAATAATATTCTTATTATTACTGTTTTTCCCTCGGGTTCCTAGTGTAACATATAGCTTCAACAGCATATCTCCATTTCACTCACTTCTCTGCAGTCTTTTGAACCTGACACCACCACTGCCCACTCACTAACTTTCATTTCTTCCTCACACCATCTCCTCCATGTCACCCTCACCTCGGACGCCCAACCCG